AAGAAATATACACATTTGATGTTCTGAAGTTTAATGCAATAGTGCTTTTATATGTTGTATACTGAACATGTGTTGATGGCAGATCTATTAATTTTTCCTTAGAAAATATGCATGGATACTTACAGGGAGCAACACCCTTGAACTGAGAAAACAAAACCAATTGGTATTATCAACTCAGGTTTGTTGAATGCAGAAAAAAAACATATATCTAGTATGCAGTAGGTGAGCAAGTCAGGAAGGGGCAGGAAAAGAGGAATGATGGAAGAACTTTACATAACACTTCCTTCCAGTTTTGCTTATTCTTAAAAGCAAAATGTAGAAAATTTCCTGGAAAGTTTTGGTTCTCAAACTACTATGAAGCTGCTACCCCCAGGCAAAAGCCCCACACAGGTCTAGTTTGAGAACCAGTTTGGTACTCAAACAGCAGATGAGCAAAGCTCGTCCTGAATTTAGCGCTAATTTAGAGTAATATATTTGGAAAGACAGCATCTTCTTTTTAATATATTGTACAGGGCAGATGTATACTTTACTTCAGCCTCAGTATATTGTTACCTTTGTTTAGCTATTTTTGACTGTGCTCATCTATTTATATTAGTATTGTAAAGTGAACCCTCTTCTGTGTGGGTGAAATTCACCCCTGTGTCTTGATAAAGTACAAAGCTGTACTTTACACTACTAAATATAAATATACACTACTAAAATCTCTCAAGCTCTGATATGGGAGTTAAATGAAACTTAAGAATTGTACAGACCTTGTGCTGGCCTTCTACACATGAGTAAAATTTAGCTAGGCATTTTCCCTCATTAAATATACTGTGTCAATGCACCAATGCATTGTAGAATGATGAGTCCCTAGTCTCCTCTAATTTATTCCTGTGTAAAACAGTGGAATTGAGAAGAGAATTAGGCCCAATGTTCTCCGCTCTGTTTAAAAAGTAATAACAGCTGCAGAATTCAGAACCAGATTTCAAACATCCCATCCAGAGGAATTTAGATCTGGGGCTTTGTTGTCTGCCCCTGGGAGAGCTAGGGACCAATTTGGAAATTTTGATCTCGATCCAGGTTTAGATTCTGAATTCTGCTGCTGAAAGTTGAGGTTGTAGTGTGGGTCCATGAGAAGAATTCCTCAGATCAGGAGTTCTGAACCTTTTTCTTTCTGAGGCCTCCCCCCACCCCCAAACATGCTATAAAGACTCCACGGCCCACCTGTGCTGCAATAACTGGTTTTCTGCATATAAAAGCCAGGGTGGCGTTAGGGGGTAGCAAGCAGGGATCTGGGCTTCAGCCTCATGTAGTGGGACTTCAGCTTTCTGCCCTGGGTTCCAGCAAGTTTAATGCTGGCCCTGCTTACAGGCCCCCCTGAAACCTGCTTGAGGCCCTCTAAGGGGCCCCAGACCCCTGGTTGAGAACTACTGCCTTAGACTATCTCTATAGTATGACGGAAGGATTTGAGTCCCCTGCTCGCTTGCACATAACTGTGCTAGCTTAATGAGAGCTAGCACAAGTATAATTAGCAATGTCGCCATGATAGCACAGGTGGACCCAGCAGAGGCACGGCTTATCTGTGCCAATTATATACCCGCCTAAAACTGATGCCTAACATGGGGGTATGTAAGTATTATATTTACAAACCAAAATAACATTAAAGCACTGGGAAACAGACCATTATAAAAGAATGGACCACATCATTAACAGAAAAATCTTTGTGTGAGAGAGCAGTGTGTACCGTAGATTATAACATGCATAAACTATAGTGAGGACTTCTCATATTGTAAGTTAAATTATTGTTACTCAAGCCAGTGCTCCCATATTTTTGTTCTTCTGGGACCCAGATCTTTTTTCTTTTGTTCTACCTTCTTTTCTTTTCTTTCCTTCTTATTTGTTGTGTAATTTTTTACTAAACTTTTTGTTGAATATTATAACTATTTGGGACGGTACATAATTGTTGTTGTATTTCTTGGGCATTTTTGTACATTTTTACCACTCTATATAAGTGCAAGAAAAATACTTCAGAGTGTCTCTGAATTTCCTTTGGTGTCATTTTTTTGTTTTGTTTTATAAGCTTGGCATTCGGGTCATGAGGTTTTGTTCTGGTGATTAAAAAAAACATGTTGCTTTTGTTCCTACTGAACAGAGTGCTGAAGTCAGAAAATTTGGATATAAAAGTATGTGGAAATTGCAGCACTAAATAATTCAGGTGCCAATAGCTGGAGCATCATTCCTAATGCAAGTATAGCATACAGAGAACACAATAAAATAGAATGAATCAAATGTCATTCTGTTTTATTCTCTGTGTAGGATACTTATATAAGGAAACGACATTTGAGTTCCTGGCTTGTGAATGACCTGGCACCTGAATTATATGCAGGCTTTCTTAAATGCCCCTCTGATTTCAACACTCACATCACAGTAAACAGTTATTTTTTATGCTGCAGATTAAAATTGAGTCTGAGAACACTGAAGCATCATTTCACAATGGAAATGCAGCCGGTCGTGCTCCAGATCTCTGTGATGAGTCACATATTAATATTCAATGTGAATGAAATTTAGATTTGGAATTAAAGTATGATGTACCGCAGTGCTGAAGATTTGTTACTGTACAGAAAGTGGTGCCCCTTTATGTATCCTGCTGGTATCTTAATAGGGACTGAACTAAGGCCGCTGTCCAGATTTGAGTGAACTATGTTCCCACATCTTCGTTATCATAGCTGACATTAATGGACACACATTGTTTGTAGTCTCAGCAAAGTGGCTAAAGAATGATAGGGCTTGGTGTGATCTGACCATCTACACTGATCCCTAGAAGTAATCCTTTCAGACAGGGCTGTAGCCTGTTCATAGTTGAGCTTGCATGGCTGTTGCCTGCTTTCTGGCTAAGTAGAGAATTTTATTCTCCAGAGTATAGATCTGGCAACTTTCACAAAATTAAACTGAGAGCTTTTTGTGTGGTTGGTTTTTATTTTTAGGGAAAGAACAAATGGTCTAAACCACATGTAGGATTATTTTGTATTATGAAAGCCATTAACTGAATGTTTAACTTGTGTATTATTAACCGCTTATCCTTAATGGCTGTTTTGGAGCCTTCATGTCTGAGAAGTGCTTAGGTATCATGATAGTGGGCTGAGTTAAAAATATATAGATAGAATCCAAAGAAATATAGTCCTAGACCCTTAACATTTCACCACTTCTAAAATGATTTTCTGTCCTGCAGAATGAACTCCATTGGATAACATTGATTTCCTGTTTTGTTTTGTTTATCTGAAGAATGGGGAACAGTCTTCCTGATGTACAGATGAAATAGTGTAACTTCAGAATGATAGACAGACAGATACTCTGTGACTACAATGAAAATATGTGCTAAGCAGTCTGAACATGTTAATTGTATTATATGTATTTACTTTTGGAAATAGTTTATTCCGGAAACTAAATAAACGTGGTTTTACATTGGTTCTCTGTAAATAAAACTCTCTAATTAGGCTCCAATAACCAGGAAAATTTTCTTTATACAACATTAATGTACTTAATATTGGAATTATAAAAGCATGTGAAAAACATGCAATCCATTTTATGCTCTAGTAATTCTGAAATACCTGAACTCTACCTTCTCCCCACGACACACAAGCACACATGCCAACCAAAATTTGACAAGGAAACACATTCCTCTTGGGCTGTGAATTTATATCCCAAATTGTAACCTAGAGATTATTTTAACTGTCGCAATAAACCCCGGTGATAGTTTTATAACAGAGAGCCCAGAAGAGCCTTGAGTACAACCTCACTAATGTGATGCTCTAATACATAATCACTCTAATTTGGAACTAAGAACCAGTTGTCAAATAATACATTTGTGGAGCTAGTAGTAGAAGTGTTAACTTATTTTTTCTTTGAAATGAAATCCACTTATGAGATGCTTAATAGTTTCCTATTTTTATTTTGCGGCTGTGATTGTCTTTCTCTTTAACCCCTCTATAAAACACTTGCGGTGAAATCATTATGCAAATCACAGACTTGACCTCATGTGCAAATTGCACCAACTCTGTTATCCCTGTCATAAATTAATTAGGAAAAGCATTGCACAAGAAATGCTTATCAACATGGTTTACCTTAGGCATGGAGCTACCTCCAAACAGATTGCTTATCATCTCTCTGAATGTGCATAAAGACTTGCATCACTGTCAGCTGAGTACAAGTCGCCTGAATCTCACTAGACACTGACAGTGTTGCCATGGAGTTGCACTCAGATTTCAAGGCAAAGATAAAACCGATTTCTAGATAAAAAATTAGTTAAAAATGGAAAGAAAACTAACATGGGTAAACAAATTCCAAATTGCCTATTTTAAGGTTTGTGTCTTTCTTTCTGTTCAGCTGAGTGAAGTTATGTATATTTAGTCGTGGATTTTTAGTTTAAAAAACCCATACAATAAATAATTCATGGTGAGGAACTGTTGTTTTAAGGGAAGCTGATCATGTGGTATATTTTGTTATTCTGCTTTGTAGGAAACAACACTGGCTTGTAGTATGTGAATCTCTTTAATGGGTCTGTCTCCAGATATTTTTGTGCCCATGCAGGGGATAGAGGAACTGTTATTGCTTCATTAGCCTGATTCTAGCCGTTATATCTCCCAGAGCAATTTGCAGCATCCTCTTCCTTGTCCTATCACATTTAATAATTTCAGAATTTGCTCTGAAGGCACAGCTCAGATATGTGCTTATATGTGAATTTCAGGGTATGAGCCAGCACATTCAATAATCCTTGTTAAGAGAGTTAACATAAACCTGGCTGACAAGTGATAGAATCAATGCCATAACATTAATCCACTGTAGAACTATCTAATAAATTGAAAATAAAGTGTGTGGTCCCAGTTAATATCCTTATAAATTTTCATTTTATTTGAAATACATTATTGTACATTTTTGTTACTACTATACTGTTATGACCTCTTAATAATGCTTTGAAGTGTAAAACACGTTTTATTTGATTTTATGATTTCTCTTAATAGTGGCTAGCATTCAGAAGCTTCCTGCAGCATCTGTTCTAACAGACATCAATTTCCCAATGAAAGGAAGAAAAGGAATGGTTGACTGGGCACGAAATTCAGAAGACAGGGTTGTCATTCCAAAAAATATCTTCACTCCTATGTCATCAGGTAAAGAAGTATTCAAGTATTATATTTTATTAGAGAATAAGTGTTTTTTTAACAGTTAGACTGAGGAAACTGGGAAGCATGGACTCATCAGGCTAGTACTTAAAGTACCAGTGCTTTTGCTAACCATCTCTAAAATGAGTATTGTAATAATAATAAAAATACTTACCCAGCATTAAATATATGTGGTGAATCTTAATTAATGTAGGTAAAGAACTTTCAGGTTCTTGGACAAAAGGTCCTGTAGAAGTGCAAAGTATTCGCTTCATTGTATTGCCAATATTTTCAATATTCAGTATTAATACATATCAGGCAAAATCTTGGGATCCAGCTATTCTGCACAGCGCTTTCCTTGCAAACGTACGGTTATAGTTGACTTAAAGCTATTCTATGCATTGCCCTGGTCCTATAGTCGCTGTGATAGCAGTGCCAATCTTCCATCCTAAAGGCTGATCTGACTTGTACTGGCTAATCCTCCCCAGAGTAGTTACACATGTTTTAGGTCCAATATATACTAGTGGTGCGGTGCAAATAAGCCACATGGGAGCATCTGCCCCCTTCGTATTAAAAATGTCCTCTAAAGATGGTTTCTCTGGATATATCAGAATGAAGATAAATACACTGAAAAGCACTGACAGAGTTTACTACATACTGATGTATCTTATCAAAGAGCAATTTTAAGTGGACGACGGGATGGATTACCTGTTCTGTTCATTTCCTCTGAAGCACCTGACATTGGCCACTTTCAGAAGACAGGATACTGGGCTACATGGACCTTTGGTCTGACCCAGTGTGGCCATTCTTATGTCTGATATGTTCTAATATTATAAACAGAGCTCTGCAGAATATATTTCACAACGAGATGATTAGGGCCTTACCAAATTCACGGTCCATTTTCGTAAATTTCACAGTCATAACATTTTTGAAATCTTGAATTTCATGATTTCAGATATTTAAATCTTAAATTTCACAGAGTCGTAACAAAGCACAAATATGTATTGAAAAATGGCAAAATATAAACATGTAAAGCCCTTAAGTCAGCATTTCTCAAACTGGGGCTCCCGACCCAAAACGGGGTTGCAAAGCTACTGTGAGGGGGTCACAGTATTGCCACCATTACTTCCGTACCTGCCTTCAGAACTGGGTAGCTGGAGAGCGGCGGCTGCTGGACAGGTGCTGAGTTCTGAAGGCAGTACCACCACCAGGAGCAGCGCAGCCTTCAGAGCTGGGTTCCCAGCTAGCAGCTGCTGCTCTCTGGCCACCCAGCTCTGAAGGCTGTGTCCCCACAGCAGCAGCACAGACGTAAGGGTGGCAATACCATACTATGCCATCCTTACTTCTGTGGTGCTGCGGGTAGCAGCGCTGCATTCAGACCTGGGAGCCTGGCCCTGCCCTCCAGCCACCCAGCTCTGAAGGCAGCACAGAAGTAGAAGTGGCAATACTGTGATCCCTCTACAATACGCCTGAGACCCCCTTTTGGGTCGGGACTCCCAGTTTGAGAAACACTGTGTACTTGTATATATTTTTACTTGAAAGTATAAAAGAGTATAGTGCACGGTAAAAGTACACAAAAGACCAGATTTCATGGGGGAGAGCAGATTTCATGGTCCGTGACGCATTTTTCATGGTTGTGAATTTAATAGAGCCCTAATGATGATCTCTTTAAAAATAAGACATATATTGGGATAATAAATACTATCCATAGAGGCATGTGCTGACTAAGGCATTTTTAACTTTTATTTTTTGTTTTTTATTTTAGAACTAGATGAATCCACTGTATTTGTGCTTGGAGCGGTGCTGTACAAAAATTTAGAACTCATTTTGCCCACTTTAAGGTAAGAAATTATTAAGCTATCCAACATAAATTACATTACTTCAGGGACATGTCTGTAGGACATCTCAAGGTGAAATCAGTCAACGAGGATCATATTTGTTTATATAGTTCTTTATAGTATAGTATAAACTTTTTACAACTATTATTTAAAAAAATAAAATTGTCTTTCTTTAATGCATCATAGTGTATATTATGTTAATGACCTAATTAATTAATTAATGTTAATCAAATTGCTATATTGTAAATGTTGTTTAATCATTTAATCTGAACTTTAGCTGCGGGGGGCAGGGGGCGGAGGAAGGAAGTTTCCTTTGTAAGTATGTAAGCTGATGGATAATTGTAAAAAATACTCAGGCTTCATGTACTTGTACTTAAAACTGATGCTCATCAGTGTAGTGTAAGTGCTCTAGCAAGGATATACTGATTGTGCCTGGCCTCACTTTCACAAAAGCCACCACCATTAGCTTCCAGGTACGTTTTCAATTAAATTGCATTAGCAGAGGACAGTAGGGTTATATGAAGGGCCTTTTTTGGAAAGAAGAAATGCATACATCTGTACAGCTCCAATACTTCAGTTCTGAGAGCTGCACAAGTGCCTAAAGAGAAAGGGAGAGCTCATTTTACTCCCAGACAGCCTAAAATACTAGAAACCAATATTCTTCCTTTTCTTCACGCACCATTGAATCAAATACCTCCATGCTTCATGGGCATTAGCCCAACCTGTTTCACACAGTCTTATGTGAAGTAGCTACTACTGATATCTTTTTTGTTTCACAATCAATCACTGAACATTGTTTCATAATAGTTATTAGTGAAATAGAAAACACAGACACTTTTCTCTCCCTTGCCCAGAGTTGGAGTTAAATCATGACCAAAAGGAGATAGGACAGGAATATACAGATTTTTTTTTGCCAGTGATAATCTGGGAAAAAAAAGAAGAAAAGAGAGGTTAGTCCTGAAGAAAATAGCCTCCCAATCAAGTTCTAATGTGTTCTGCACCTGCTGTTGCTAGCCCCTATTTTTAAAGTAGAAATATCTACGCAATGCACCATTCTCCTGGCCCCTCCATGCCTTAATTAACTAAATGTCTGCCTCAAATGACAGGACATTGCCATCTAGAAAAGTACACTTAAGGAACAGTTCACACTTATGGTACTGCATAAAGAATAAATCATACTGTTCTCAAATTTTGGTGAACATTTTTCTATTTGGCATGCTAACTCCTGAAACCAGAAAAGAAGCCAGGAAGAGTTGTTTATGGCAGCAGTTTCTCTCTATTATTCCACACTCTGAGATATAGAGCCAAATGACTATTATATTCAGCTGTCTCTGGAATACCTTAGGGAAAGTCTGCCAGCCATGGAAGAGCATCAAGGTGGCCATGAATCATTCAAACCTTTATTTTATAAAGAGCTATCAATGGCCATGCCGTCAGTACTCCTAGCTTCCTCATTTTAATTTATAGAAAACAAGTCTGGACTACTGAAGTCCATCCATCTGCACATTCAAAGCTATTCAGGGCACTCCTATCTATACTCTGGATGGATAGGAATTAATGACTTACTGCTGCCCCCCTATTGAGGTTGATGGCAAAAATCCTAAACTACTAGACTTCATCAGTGAGTGATTGGGTCCTAAATGTATAGCGAACAGGACATTGTGAGTCTTGAAAGGAGTACAGCTATTTTGCATGAGATTTTTGCCATTGACTGCTACTTTCAGCTGGTTCTTGGATTCCACAGCAAGCTGACCTCTCCTCTGAACAACTGATCAGCCTTCCATAAAAAGTGGTTATGTGAGCTTCCAGGTCCATGTGGCTTGGTGTTCTAAGTGTCTTTATTTATAAATAAAGCCTTTAGAACTGCAGATAAGAAGATACAGTTATCTCCCAATGCTCCTCAGTGTGTTCTGTGTAAATAGAATCAACTTTTGAGCTGCCCGTATTGTGTTACAAATTCTGCAGACATGGTATTGTGGTTTATGTTTGTGTGTGTGAATCAGGAATAAAAACCTAGTATGTGTATAAAGACCTTCTGAATCAGGGCATAAGTATCATATGTACATTGTTACACTTCATCAGTATTTATCGTGAGCAGTGAACAGAGGACAGGCAAACAGAGGGAGTTTGCCTGGGAACCATCCAAGAGGAGCTAAGATGGCTGCTGCATTAGCGGGGCTGTGTTATGAGCTGGTGGGGGGAATATCCGAGTGTCTGTCTCCTGTGGCCATTTGTTTGACTGGAGCTAGTTGCAGGGACTGTTGACCATTTGTTTGTTTGTTTGTTTGTTTGTTTGTTTGTTTGTTTGTTTGTTTGGAAAGTGTGAATTGTGAGTGCTTTGTGAGGTGAGCCTTGAGTTGTTGATTAGAGGGAAGGCTTTGAGCCGGGCCAACTACTTCAAGCCAGCAGCCTTATAAAAAGGCAGCCAGTTGCGAACTCAGTGAGCGGCAAACAGAGGACAGGCAAACAGAGGGAGTTTGCCTTGGGGGAGTTCCCACCCAGTATTTTTGCCTTTCAGGCTTCTGTGAGAAGTAAATACATCATCTGAGGATGCTTTTAGAAGGAAGACATGATAGTGAGCGATCAACTGTTGTGACCTGTGCAGGATGTGCCATGTTTGCCTTTCTCCTAAAGGACAGAAGCAACTTCATCTGTTCAAAGTGCAAATTGGTCTCCATATTGGAAAAGAAGGTTAAAGGACTAGAGATGCAAATATCAACTTTACGTTGTATCAGAGAAAATGAAGAGCAACAAGGGTGATGTCATGGTGGGCGTGTGCTATAGACCACCGGACCAGGAGGATGAGGTAGATGAGGCTTTCTGTGGACAATTAACTGAAGTTTCCAGAACACAGGCCCTGGTTCTAAGGGGAGACTTCAATCACCCTGACATCTGCTGGGAGAGCAATACAGCAGTGCACAGACAATCCAGGAAGTTTTTGGAGAGTGTTGGGGACAACTTCCTGGTGCAACTACTGGAGGAACCAACCAGGGGTTGTTCTCCTTTTGACCTGCTGCTTACAAACAGGGAAGAATTGGTAGGGGAAGTAGAAGTGGGTGGCAATCTGGGCAGCAGTGACCATGAGATGGTTGAATTCAGGATCCTGACAAAAGGAAGAAAGAAGAGTAGCAAAATATGGACCCTGGACTTCAGAAAAGCAGACTTTGACTCCCTTAGGGAACTGATGGGCAGGATCCTATGGGAGGCTAATATGAGGGGGAAAGGAATCCAGGAGAGCTGGCTGTATTTTAAAGAAGCCTTACTGAGGGCACAGGAACGAACCATCCTGATGTGCAGAAAGAATAGCAAATATGGCAGGCAACCAGCTTGGCTTAACAGTGAAATCTTCGGTGAGCTTAAACATAAAAAAGAAGCTGACAAGAAGTGGAAACTTGGACAGATGACTAGGGAGGAGTATAAAAATATTGCTCGAGCATGCAGGGGTGTAATCAGGAAGGCCAAAACACAACTGGAGTTGCAGCTAGCAAGGGATGTGAAGGGTAACAAGAAGGGTTTCTACAGGTATGTTAGCGACAAAAAAAGGGTCAGGGAAGGTGTGGGACCCTTAATGAATGGGGGAGGCAACCTAGTGACAGATGATATGGAAAAAGCTGAAGTACTCACCTCAGTCTTCACAGACAAGTTCAGCTCCCACACTGCAGTCCTAGGCTACACAGTATAGGGAGGTGGTGAGCAGCCCCCAGTGGTGAAAGAATAGGTTAAGTTAACTATTTAGAAAATCTGAACATGCACAAGTCCATGGGTCCAGATCTAATACATCCGAGGGTGCTGATGGAATTGGCTGATCATAGAATCATAGAATCATAGAATATAAGGGTTGGAAGGGACCCCAGAAGGTCATCTAGTCCAACCCCCTGCTCGAAGCAGGACCAATTCCCAGTTAAATCATCCCAGCCAGGGCTTTGTCAAGCCTGACCTTAAAAACCTCTAAGGAAGGAGATTCTACCACCTCCCTAGGTAACGCATTCCAGTGTTTCACCACCCTCTTAGTGAAAAAGTTTTTCCTAATATCCAATCTAAACCTCCCCCACTGCAGCTTGAGACCATTACTCCTCGTTCTGTCATCTGATACCATTGAGAACAGTCTAGAGCCATCCTCTTTGGAACCCCCTTTCAGGTAGTTGAAAGCAGCTATCAAATCCCCCCTCATTCTTCTCTTCTGCAGGCTAAACAATCCCAGCTCCCTCAGCCTCTCCTCATAACTCATGTGTTCCAGACCCCTAATCATTTTTGTTGCCCTTCGCTGGACTCTCTCCAATTTATCCACATCCTTCTTGAAGTGTGGGGCCCAAAACTGGACACAGTACTCCAGATGAGGCCTCACCAATGTCGAATAGAGGGGAACGATCACGTCCCTCGATCTGCTCGCTATGCCCCTACTTATACATCCCAAAATGCCATTGGCCTTCTTGGCAACAAGGGCACACTGCTGACTCATATCCAGCTTCTCGTCCACTGTCACCCCTAGGTCCTTTTCCGCAGAACTGCTGCCTAGCCATTCGGTCCCTAGTCTGTAGCTGTGCATTGGGTTCTTCCGTCCTAAGTGCAGGACCCTGCACTTATCCTTATTGAACCTCATCAGATTTCTTTTGGCCCAATCCTCCAATTTGTCTAGGTCCTTCTGTATCCTATCCCTCCCCTCCAGCGTATCTACCACTCCTCCCAGTTTAGTATCATCCGCAAATTTGCTGAGAGTGCAATCCACACCATCCTCCAGATCATTTATGAAGATATTGAACAAAACCGGCCCCAGGACTGACCCTTGGGGCACTCCACTTGATACCGGCTGCCAACTAGACATGGAGCCATTGATAACTACCCGTTGAGCCCGACAATCTAGCCAGTTTTCTACCCACCTTGTAGTGCATTCATCCAGCCCATACTTCCTTAACTTGCTGACAAGAATACTGTGGGAGACTGTGTCAAAAGCTTTGCTAAAGTCAAGAAACAATACATCCACTGCTTTCCCTTCATCCACAGAA